AAAAAAAAAAAAAAAAAAAAAAAAAAAAAAAAAAAAAAAAAAAAAAAAAAAAAAAAAAAAAAAAAAATAATTATGCACATCAAACGATTTTGGGGTACGGTAAAATTTGGGAGGGGGGGGCTGGGGGCCAAAATTGATTCTTAGCAAAACCACATGAAAAGCTCATTTCGAAAAACTGAACATTTTAAAAAAATGCCTTTAATTCTTTGAGAGTGGGCATCAAGCACACCACCCGAGTCATTAATTTAAGTTCCTAAAAGATCTTCGGACTCAACTCAAAATTCAATGGATACGTGGCACGAAAGTAGGGCACTTTGCTCGGTGAGATCACGCGGAGGGCCCCCTCTCTTTGATGGACTGGAGATACTGTGAAAAGCCTTCCATCATGTGAAAGCTGGCATCTAGCACTACCTGGGTCATGCATCTAAGTTCCTATGAGATCTTTGGACTAGACTAAAAATTGGAGAGGGGCCAATAACAAATCGCCATTTTGGGCTGAACAATCAAGGAAACGGAAGACTCGTATTGGCAGCATGTTAATTTCCGTCGCCGATTCAGCAATTCTTAATGACCGAGTGGATAGGGCATTCGACCGTCAAGTTTGAGACTTGGGACCGATGCTAAGCGACACCCGTTTTATTTTAAGACTATTTTAACATCGAATAGTAATTCCACCCATTGAAGTAAGGTTTTGAGAGCTTTTTACCATGCTTAAGGAAAGATTATAATATATAATCAAACCTGAAGTATGATGTCAAGTAATCCAATAGATCCTAATGAATCGTAGCTAAGCTAAGATTTTTAAGGATCGCCGTTTTTACTAGGAGACATCATTAATCAATTATTTAATTGAAGATGCCTCAAAATATCGACAAGTCGATTCTGAATAAATGCATTCATACCATATCGTGAAGAGATTTACGATAAAGTTTAGTGGTTAGAATAAAAATTTCGTAAAAATTATATTCGATCAAAATTCCAATCAAACTTTATAATTTGGTGATATTCACAGTATTTTCCTAAATACTCCAGTAAAAGTGTCTATGCCGGCGTGGAACGCCGGCTTGAGCGAAGAAGTCTTGTGCGATCCTCGCACCGTGACGGGGGGCGCAGCCCCCCCCCCCCATATGCCGGCACTTGCGCCGCGGATAAATTGGCCGGAGGCCAAATTTTTCTTCTTCACTGCATTCAATTCATTTCAAGATGTTGATCATAAGTCATCATTGTGCCAACTTTCAACGATGCACCGTTTTCGCACAATACGCCCAGAACGCTGCAATTAAGCGGCGACAAAGAGTCAGAAAGATTCTTCATTTCAGTCCTTGAGTGAACGGTCGGCTGTGTGTCAACAAGGAAATCAAGGGAACTCCAGCACCGAGTGGCAGTCTTATCTCGGATTCTGCACGCCTTTTGGCTTGACCGTCCAAATCAGATTCGTGAGGAGCATAAGAACCGGAAAGTCGGAGAAAACAGTGGACGTCAAGCAAACAAGAGCGGGAGGGAGATAACCCCAGAGTAGGCAGGAATAGATAAGAAGACAGACACTCGCTACATTTTTCCTTATTCACATCAGACCTGTTCTCCAATGCCTTGTTCTTTTTGACTCTTATATCGCCGAACAATTGAAGCGTTCCGGGAGTATTGTGCGGAAACGGTGTATCGTAGAAAGTTGGCGCAATGATAACTTTTGATCAGTATCTTGAGCTGAATTGAATGCAGTAAAGAAATTAAAAATCGATCGTGGTGCACTTTCCCATAAGGAGTGTGCGGGGTCCTTTCTCCGATAATGCCCGGCCGCCACAAATTACCTGACTTTCCCGGTTTTACATGGACAACCCTGGAATACTACTAGACGAGTCCCAGTTGTCGCTAGCAGAGCCAACTTTAAAAAATCATAACTCGACTTTAAATCGTTTCTCTGGGATGGACTTGAATTCTTTCAGAATCTCAGATTAAAAACTTTTACAAGCAATTGGCTCTTTTTCATAGGATAGATCCGTTTGATCTTAAGTCACGGCACTAACTTTAAAACATTGAAAATTCTGGGCCACAATACAATTTGGCAACAATGGATGGAAATTCCTAAATGGATTAGTTCCATTCTTTCCAATTGAAGATTCACGCTGACTTCTGAATGTCAGAGCTATCATCATCTCTCCATGGTAAACCGTTGAAGATATAAGTTACTTTTTTATGATTGAAACTATGAGCACCCTGCATACATTTCATGATATTCATTTGTCCTGATTTGATCGTTTTTATCCGATGATTTGCTGTGGGAACGACCTACGAAAGTATAAAAACACAAATACTTGCGACTCGTAATCGTTCTGAAAGCATGGTTGATCTTGGGACTCAGAATATTCCAGGTGCTCCCACCGCGTCATCTTGGAAAATCAAAACTTCGATCAAAATTGTTCCCCCGAGATTAACTTGGGCTTACTTATTTTGAAACGTAGACGGTCTACTTTCATGAACCAAATGGTTTTGTTATTCTTCACGTGAGCCTTAAATAGAGTACCTGTATACAGGAGAATAATGCCATCTCAATCCTCTTACTACAGAAAAAGTGTGCTGTTCTCCGGTTGGTCGGCTATCTTGGAGCCCCAAAGTTGGCCCAATGTAAACAAACCCTAGCCTCTCTGCTCCTAGTTTAGCCCAATGCAAACAAACAAGATGGCAAAAAAGTTTTTAATGTGATTTTGGGTATGATAGAATTTTGTTTATAACCAACTTCTGAATTGCGTTCGGATCGAACTTTGATGAATATTTTTTCCGAAAATTAAGCCTCAAGTGTGATTATCATTCATTTTTCAGCCGATTATACGTGTTCCTCTGGGTCGGGTTTGTTTACAGTGGGCCAACTTTGGAGATCCATGATAGCCTAAAACTGATGAACAAATCAGAAGGCGACACAGAGATGGCAATCCTCTCCCATATGTAGGTACACAAGCCTTCGACGCCGCCACAGCTCAAAATGTGAAAGTTCAAAATTTTAGCTACAGCAATGAGCCAGTTAAGCCCGGGAGGGATTTGCCTGCAAATAGTCGAGTCTTACAGTTTTCGGTACGAGAAGAACGATGCGAATGTTAAAATTTCACGAAAAATTGTCTCCGCGGAGATATAACGTTTCCTTTTCAGGGGTCCTCGAAAACGTGTTTGAACCGACCGCCGTGAATCTTCGAACTATGGGCGTCCTAGACGGGAAGATGGCGGCGCCGAAGCCGACCTGCTCACGAATCTTTCCGACTGGCGACTTGGACGGTCAACCGTTGGAATTCGGCGATTGACCCCGAATCTCCACCGCGGCGGTGCATGTTCGGGGATCGAGCACCTCAACGTTTTCATGTAAACAACTAAGATGGCGGCGCATATTGCGCGGGTGTTTTGAATTTATGGATCGCGGGCAAGATCCACACTTTAAGCGGACTTGAAGCAACCACGTACTTAATTAAAATTTACATTTAAATATTTTTATCAAGTTAATATTAATTCCTGATAGTCGAATGAAGGAAGTTTTCTCCCGTTAAGACACAAGCTGCAATGTCGCCGTTTATCAATGCATTCTAGGAGAAAAAAAGTAGCAGCCAGAAGAGTGAGTCTTGAGCGACCATCCTCAGCATTCATTCCTTCTCTTCAGAGATTTTTTGTCATCACTTATCAGGGATGTAAAATGAAATCTAACATGATATGAAAGTACACAGATTTCTTAGGAGGAGTGTACACCACCCATAAAATTATCTTATAATAAAATTAAGAGTTTGGCTCTTATTTTGTTAAATATTGAGATTTTCTGATTATACGCATTTCACGGCCTACTGAGCCTATTGCAGAAGTTATACTTTCATGAAATTTTACCTTGTATGAAATTGCATGCAATTTTGCATCTCTGCTCATTATGGAACCCATTCAGCAGGCTATCAAGACTGAGGCTGCTTTAAAAATGTAAATGGTGCTAGCAAGAAAGGGGTTGGACCTCTGGGAGGAACATATTTTTTCAAATTAAAATTTATCATGAGGGTGAAAATTCTCACACATCAGGCAAGTAGGGATTGTCCCCTCCCCCTTATTCAGAGAGAGTACTAACATTTTTCTGGGACAATTTTGGTCAATTTTACTGTGAAGTGTGTCAGCAGCGCCCAACTCCCTCCCCGCAGGCACAAGACCTCTCCAGTTAGATTTCCCGGGTCCAGCTGAAATGGCACAGCTACATTTAATCATTCAATCTAATCTTTCAAATCTACGTTAAGTCGTACGTTTATGGTAGACTTCAGATTTCGATACTTGTCTGTTACGCATTTGCAAACATTTGTTTTTTTTGTAACTGTCTTCAAAACACCAGCGTCATTGTCCGGTGGATTTTCCATCAGAGTCTACACACTTAGACTCATCACTGACCAATTTCTCTGGAATATCTAGCATGAATGGTTAAAATGTAGATTTCACTTTGCAGATAAAGTAGCTGAGGGCCCGAAAAAAAATTTTCACTTATATTGACTTCTTTAAAGACCTTTCTGACCTTAAAAGAAGCATGTGGACTTTAGGTCTGGCTGTGTTATAAGAGGCTGCACAACAGAATCAAATTATTCTCTTGAGATAAATTCCTTACCTCTGAACTAGAAAAGCCATTGATTCAGCTTTGTTCTGACCCCAACACAAATAAAACAATCAGCCCAACAGGCAGCAAGCGTCAAGAGATATTTATGCATTTATCCTCTCAGTTATTTGCACTTGGTCTGGAAAATACTGAAATAATGGTTTATACTGCTGAGAGCAATGGAATTTGTTGGATGTTCAACGTCTTTCGCAAATATTGACACATTACGGCAAGAGGCTGGTGTTACCTTTGATGCATCAACGAAGAGGTATCACAAACAACTTCGAAGTTAAAAGTTACAAAATCAAGCAGCGCTACTACATTTAAATTTGAGAATACTAGATATTCATACCAATTAGGTAATCAGAGACGTTTGGAGACTTTTATACGTAAATTCCGGTGGAAAACCCACTCCATGAAGACATTGGTACAATGTACAAGTGGAGTGAAACACTTGCAAAAAGTAAACAAATACTTACGTTCGCGTAACGGTGAGCTTAGCTTATTGAGGCTAAAATGGAACGACTGAAACGATAAAATTAATTTTGAATTATTATACTATAATCGATCAGCACACGATGCTTGGGCATGCGATCGGTAGGCTTGGTTTCGTAAACAAATATGGCGGCGGTCCGTCACAACGTTGAGAGTGCCGAACCCCCGAAAACGCACCGCCGCGGTGGAGATTCGGGGTAAATCGCCGAATTCCAACGGTTGACCGTCCAAGTCGCCAGTCGGCAAAACCCACCTGCTCACTGCCGCCACGCTGCCGATGTTGACATCACGATTTCTCGTTTGAGGTTAAGTAAGTTCTATGTGAATGTTTCATATCCAACATACATCTGTGTCGCATTCTGATTGAATAGCTTCGAGAATTAAGAACAATGGATATGAATCTCAAACAAAGTAACCTAAATAACCTCCAATTGACCAACAAAAACATACCGCCACCAACGCAACGCCGCTGTGTATTCTTCCACTACGCATTCCGCCTCCATATTGATCGTGACGTGTACATTAGAAACCTACGAGCGCGCGGTTCCAACGCCGTTTTAGGCCACCCTAATTTTAGGCACTTTCGAATAAACTTTTCTCCCGTTTGCAGTCATCAAAAAAATTTAGGAGAAAAACTGTAAGCTTCGGTCACTTACTACTTTCGAATGACACAATAAAAAAAAAGGACTTTACTGACTCATACTGGATGAAAATTTCAAAATGGACCAATGTCATGCATACAAGATGAAAAAATGATGGTTTTTTCTAAATGTTGGGACAACGACTCCCGCACAGAACAGGGGGCTCAGTGGCTCCCGGTAGGTTTTGATGAAACTTTAATAGATTAAAATGAAGTTCATCATCAACACAAAGCCAAACAATTACCTTATTCTAACGAGTAGAAGTCAAGATATTAGCCATTGAACCCGGACTGTTTTCTATAATATCACAGCATGACGGAGGACTTACAAATCCCCTCTCCTCTGGCTGTTAGGCGTTTTCGATCAGACCTCACACGCAGTTAGGTGTTCATACGTTAGACAGGTGCAAAGGCTGTACGCTCCCCTTCTCCCCGCATCTGCCGATTCTGTTTCAGTAGCTCTTCAGTAATTTCAGAGGTGAGGTGCAAGAGATAGAGGACTCTATATCTCATTGCCCGATCTGATCTGAGCAGCTACCTGGAGGAGAAAAAGGGTTTCCCATCCAAAGTCTGATGTGTTCAGGCACGAAGAATGGCTACGTGGAGCGCCTAATTGTCTCCGCCGCACAGAAATTGGCCTGTGTTTAAACGCGAATAATTTGGCTTTTACTTGTTGGAATGAGGTAATTGTTTGGCTTCCGGCTGATGATAAACTTCATTGTAATGTACTGAAGTTTCATCAAAATCTACCAGGAGCCACTGAGCCCCCTGTTCTATGCTGGGTTCTTTCATCTCTAGGTGATAGATCGTATACAAGACATGCTAGTTTACAGTTTTAACTTTAACACCTCCCCCCCCCCTTCCCTGTATAGTCATACACCCTAGTCTTCCCTCAAGTTTCATTTTGCTATCTATAAATAAGTGGCAATGAGACAATAAAACCCTTCATTTGAGTCCAACTTTAACTATATATCAGCCGAAGAGCTGAAGAAACAGTTGTTAGAAGTTAAGAGGATCACCGAAAGGGGCCACTGAATTGTCATGGGATGACTTAAAATTCAGAGATTATCTTAGGCGACATCATATTATCTAGAACTTTCACACTGACAAGTATAATCCTGCAATAGTGATGGAAAGGGGTCAGAAATTTACTCTAAAATGAATTTCTTTCGGCTCCTAATCAGAACCGAATCGAACACAAAACTGAGCATATATTTGACTACAAACAGAGGTTAATGAGCATAACACGTTAAGAATTAATTAAAATGAATGATAGAAACATCTGAACAGCTAACGTCCGCTTTACCTTTGAGACACTAACTAAAGGATGAGAAATAGATCTAAAAGGAGAAACACAGTTCATACAAGCAATTCAGCATATAAGAACACGTAAGGTAAGAAAGAGAGGTGTGTGAAAAACTATAGATTAATATACGTTTCCAGCTTAAAATGTCGCGTCGCGTGCGAATAAACGAGCATGTAGGTCCCTTCTCCAAGAAATGTAATCATTCCATCCATCAAAACAGGAAAGCTGAAAGACAATGAGAATCAAGTTACCAATAACATTATCGCAAAGTAATTACGTCTCTGAAGAGCTTCTTAGCATGTGTGATTCACCACTTTCGTCCGACTCTGGAATAAAAACACAGTCACATAGCACTAAAATATTCCTGTTATCTAATCATGAGAACAGAAAATTGAGGTCTAACTTTCAGATCAGGAGATTAATCTCAAACAACAGTCATTTGCAACAAGGCGCAAATGATTGGAGTTTGTATGCATACAGAAATACATGCTGAGCGGTTGTGGACAAATTGTTGATGAGCTCATCAACAAGAAGGTAGCATCAAGACTTCACCGAATTCTCATCAATTCAAGAGCCCAAAATGAAAGACTTGACTAGTTCTGTGTAGGAGAAAAAAGTTAACTTCGACTCTGTGTGAAGAATTTGTCTATAATTAGAAAATTTCATCATTGACCTAAGAAGAGGTTGCATTCGAGTTGATCAGAAAATGAGAGGCATTTAATGTTAGGGTAAAAAATGGATGAGGAAGAGGGTCAAGTTGGTGGAGCTCTTTAATTTCTGAAGGATGAGCTCGCTGAATTGTATTTGACAAATTCTGTCCGAACTTAAAAAACTCAACTGATAAATTTAACCGAGATTTAATCAGTGATGAATAGAAAAAGTATTACGTTTTAAGACCCTAATATTAGGGTTGTGATTGTTTCAAGTCTATTTGTAGTAAAACCCATCGTTTGAGATGATAACCTGAACGGATCTTAGGTTTTGGTCGAATATGAAAAGGCAAGGGTGACTTAGGATTACTACATAAAAAAAATTGACTCACTCAAGGGCTGTTGGGTTTCAATTCACAAGTAGAAAACGAAAGGAAATTCATATATAAAAATAAAACTTGATGGATGTGTCGGGGATTGACCCGAACAAAAGATGGAACAAGTAATGATGACTTATTCTACAATTGCTAAGGTGGAAACTTGGCAGCTGAGAAAAGAGGTTAAGGAGGATCACTAGGCAAAATTAAAAGGGGGCCTGGGAAAATTTTAGAGGCTTCGAGTGAACAGTGGAATTTTTATCAGATGGATGGGAAAAAAATTCCACCCAGAGAAAAAAGACATAAAGGAGGGGTTGCGATTTGGGCCGAAATCGGCCCCTCCACGGAATTGAGAAATTTGAGGATACATGGCAGTCGACGGTGCATACTTGACGGAAATAATCGAGGTTTGCCGATACTCACGTTTTTTGGCCGCATAACAGGAGCCTAAACATGGCTCCGGAGCCGAAAATAGCTGAAATTTCGAGTTTTTCGCGGTTTTACCTAGGATTTCGACCTGGGCCCAAAGGCGACGGGTGATGAGCTTCGAATATGTTGTCAAGGACACCTAGACACGTAACGTACTTGAATATGATCAACCGTCGCCCCTGGGCCCAACTTCAAAATCGAACTTTTCCAACTTTTAAGCCCGAAGTAGCGTAAAATCCATGTTTTTCGCGGTTCTACCTCAGATATTGACCTGGGCCCAAAGGCGACGGGTGATGAGCTTCGAATAAGGTGTCAAGGACACCTAGACACGTACCATACTTGAATATGGTTAACCGTCGCCCGGGTCATTCCATGTCAACTCAACCAGTGAATTTTCATGACCATCTTCGATTTTGATGAAACTTGGTGAGCATAATGATCCGTATGATGGTATGAAAATCCCAAAATTTCAGCTCTCTACGACCAATAGAACCGAAGTTACGGGGGCTCAAAGATGGCAAAAAAACCCCCGGGGCTGTGAACCCCTTGAATTTCAAAAAATCATAACTCGGGTTCTAATTAAGCNATGACCCGCCCTTGGGCCCAACTTCAAAGCGGAAAAACATGGTTTTTCCGCTATTTCGGGCTAAAAAGTCGGAAATGTTCGATTTTGAAGTTGACCCAAGGGCGACGGTTGATCATATTCAAGTGTGGTACGTGTCTAGGTGTTCTTGACATCATATTCGAGGCTCATCGCCTGTCGCCGTTGGGCCCAGGTCGAAATCTGAGGTAGAACCGCGAAAAAGTCGAAATTTCAGCTGTTTTCGGCTCCGGAGCCATGTTTAGGCCCCTGTTACGCGGCCAAAAAACTTGAGTATCGGCAAAACTCGATTATTTCCGTCAAATATGCACCGTCAACTGCCATATATCCAAAAATTTCTCAATTCCGTGGAGGGGCCGATTTCGGCCCAAATCGCAACCCCTCCTTTGATGACCACTTAAAGGGTAAAAATTGACCAATGTCACATCTGTAGCTGAAATAATTTAAGATTGCTTACCCCGGATATACAAGCCCAGCTTCAAAACTATCGGAAAACTGGACATGCACTGAAGAGGCTCCTTTCCCTTAGCAACTATAATTCTCTCCTTTCCTCCCCCCTCCACTTTCTCTTCTTTTTCCGGAGGAGACACAATAATAAGTTAATATTTCTTCATTGTGGATTTGGCTGATCCATAGGAGATGTTAATATTCGTAATGATATATCCTAGCTTTCTGAGAAAATCTTTATTATCATGAAAAACAATCCATCAAGGTAATAATAGCTTGCTGGACAAGTTCACACATTAGTGACCTACATTTCTGAACGATTGAGGCTACAGAGAGTAAGGACTTCCTTAATGATTAAGGTAAAACCTTCCAATTCAGAAGCTTTAAATAGCTTTACAAAAATCCAATGTATCCTTGATGCACACCAAATTCATTTGACACGTTGCTCAAAGAGGCTGTTTTATATTGGTTGCTTCCGAGAGATATCAGCCTCCACGAGTGGCTTATTAACTAGCTGGGCCAAATACTCTTCAGACTGTTTTTCAAATAAGACAGTCATGGTGAAACAATACAGACAGAAGCTCCCTAAAGGAACAGGTGGCTCTCAGCCTCAAATTCATTTTTGCTACAGTCAAACAGTGAAGCAGCGACTCCCATGAAAATAGCTAGGACAATTCAATGGTAAAAGCAGAGAGATATGAATAGGAAGATAAAATGGATCTTACATGAGAAAAATTTTTAACAATGGTGATTTATCTCAGTCTTGATCATGAGTCCTTTATACTTACATTCTGACAAGGATGTGTATCATCACAAAGTGACTCATTTACTCACATAATAAAGAAATTTGTGCCACAGAGACACAGATAAGATTGCATTATAATGAAAAACTGTCTTTTTGGGCACATTTATGAGAGAGCCTACCAAGATGAGAAAATTGACGAAAGATATGTCTCTTCTGAAACGATCTACAACAGTTGGTGCCTAATGCGTTTACATTGTTTTTATTCCCATGAAATGGGTCACAATGTCCCATGGCACCAACAGCTCCGAAGTTACAAAATAAGGAGCGATAAATGTCCAATCAAACAAACTATTCGTAGAGGCTGGTAAGCAAATAATATAGTAATAGTCTTGACCCTTCCTAGCTCCCAAATATCACCATTCTACACATTATCTACATGAAAAGAAAAACTCTCAATTAATGGAGCTTATATATCAGGGTATCTACTGGTACCCTGTCATTCAAATTCCTTGCTTTTTCCTCATTTTCCTGTAAATTCCTTTTGTGGCGATTTTCAAAAGTCCTTGCTCTTTCCTTACCTTTTCCACACTTTTTCCTAACCGCACACGCATTTTTAACTGTATTCGGATTCAGGAAGTGGAATGATGGAATGAGGAAGGAATAAACCAAAAAACGCAAGGAATCGAACCTGGATGTTGATAAATGGATTACTTTAGGAAATCGCAAACGGCCAAGGCTACTTTCTGGAGTTGATAACAAAAATCTTGCATTTCTGTACTATTTTACTGAAAATCCTAACATTTTCCGTACTTCCATCCCGACCTCCTGTGCTTTTTCGGCATATCTGTACTTTTTCTGTACTATAGACACCCTGATATATGCATCAGAGATCTGCAGATAGAATACTATCACTTAAATATTTTTACGAGAGACTCATTGCTGCCCCTGATTTTCTCTAGAACTTACTTTTGAGCTCAAAAAAAGCTCCGGAAGTTGAGACCATTACTATTTGCTTACACAGTGCCTCTTCTATGCTACGAGTTCACCTCTACATCCAGTCAAATTTTCCATGCACAAATAAGTAGGGGTTAAATACTTACATTGGCAATGCTATCACATTTTTGGGCAGAAGATGGAACCACGGCAACCATACCAATGTTTCTAATCCGTATCAGTGCATTGCGAGTTTGACTGGATATAGAGGTGCACTTACAGTACAGCAAAGGAGATTACCTCCACACAGCCTGAACTAAGAGAGCTCTTTAGGATCTTGTACGTTTCAGAGAAAACTAGAGCATCATCATTTCACTCGCAAAAAATTAAGAAACAGTACTTGCTTCACAATTCCCAGACACATGCAAGAGCCTCATGACTAGAAGTCACAATCTGCAAATTCAAAATTATATAGGAGCATCTAGCGCAACCTTCCACTTGGGGGGAGACCCTACACCCTGAATTAAAAAACTAGTAGGTATCATAATTGAGATGTTCAGTAGATTTAAACCATGAAACTAATTAAGAATGGTGATATTCTATGAGAGAAACAGAGACTTTGCATAGCATGGTAGACTGCAAAAAACATGGGCTCTGTCTGGAGACAGCTGTAACGCAGAAATCAATGGCGTAACTAACATACCTGCCGCCACCGCTGGGCGGGGGGGGGGGGGGGGGGGGCGGCGGCGGCGATGCGAGGGACACAAAATTTTGGGAAAAGAAAATGGGAAAAAGGAAGAGGGAAGAGAGGGAGAGAGGGAGAGAGAGGCAGAAAAGATTAAGAAGGAGGGGAGCAAGGAGAACAAGTACTTAACACTCCCAAGGGTGACTAATCCTCAAAAACGGTTTGAAGTTGAGTTTTTAGCATCATACTAGACACTGTAGTTGGTCAGTTGGAAAAAAGATTTGAATCTTAAGAAAACATCGTCTCAACTTTTTGAATATTGATGCCAGAATTTCTCGCTGAAATCGCCGATAATGAGCTAGACCAAGGCACAAGAAAAATTATCCAAAAATACCCTGATAATTTTACTTTTGCTCTCTGCAATCAGTTAATTGGTTTCCGAACATGCCTAAAATCTGAAATTAAAAAGTGTCACAACGCTAGGGAAATCGCATCTTTATTAATTTGTGATAACTCAACGTTAGCATCAAGTTTTCCGGAAGTGTGCTCTGCCTACTAACTTTAACTTTGCCCGAGAGTGCTGCCTCTGCCGTGCGGTCTGCTTTTAAATTGAAACTGATCAAAACTTATCTGCGGAGTACTAAGAGCCAACATCGACTATGGGGTCTCTCGCTCTTGTCAATTAAAAATGAAAATTCGGGACTTTAGGTTTCGGTCATCTCATTGAAGAGTTTTCAAATGCTACTGCGAGACGAAAAAAGTTTCGATCATGCAAACATTTCATGTAAGTTCCACATTTTTTCATACGTTTTGGGAACTAGAATTTCCTCTTCACATTTTTCTTTCTATTCTCATAGCAATACCTTGATTTTCTCCCATTTATTCAGATCTAAGTGACTAGATGAGCGGGGGGGGGGGGGTGCATCGCCCAAAACTTCAGAAATGAGAGGGTGCAGCCTCAGGTCAGCGGGGGCGCGCAAAGATTTCTAGCTACGCCACTGGCAGAACTCCAAAGGAGCTTTGGGGCAATTTATCCCGGTTTCTCGGTGCAGTCAAACTGATGTGCTGTATTTCAATTCAGTCAAGTAGGTAAGTCAAAAATCTCATCAGATTTTAATTGTGGAGCCAAGCAGAAGAGTAAACTTGCAGACAAGTCTACTGAATCATTCTCAACCAAATAAGTAGCAAAATTCAGAGAAATGAAAGCGCGATTCTTTTTGGAAAATAATTTTGCATGCGATGGAATTGATTACAACCTACATTGGATGCAATAGTTACATATTGCCACAAATGTTTCTGCCTCCATTTATCGGGAATTTAAAATTTTTGGGGTTGGAAATGATTCTTGAAGATTGTGTGCAGGACTTTCCTGCTCTTTCCAGATAAAATTTAAAATCCGCAAGTTTATACTAGCTCAATGCAATACATGGAATACCAGTCCGACAATGCCACGGACCCAGCACAAATTACCTGGAGAATACCCGGCTCCAAATAATCATAATCTAGCATTAAAGTAAAATCATAAGGGATGGACTCTTTCACTAATGCAAGAAACGACGTACTATTAATCGCTCCCGTACAAAACATGGTAAACAAAGCAGTGTTATAAAACCTCCTCACTCGGTTTCGGTTACAATGACAAAGGAAGATTAACTGAGAGCGAATTCGTATTAGAGTGATTTATTAACGGGATACTTGCTCGAGCAACGCGCAAATGATTCCAAATCTTAGAAAGATAGCTCAACAAATCAAGTCGAGCGAACGGCTGCTCCCGCGGGCGTCAGCGGACACAGGTTTCACAAATCAAGGTGATATGATCAGCCTGGGACAAAAAGTCATTAAAACGAACTGAGATGAAAACGAAGCTTACCTTTCTTGTCAGCCATTGAAAATTAACTAATTCTAAAATGGAAAGATCAAATAAAAAGAGCCGCACACTAACAGTCGAAAAATGCATCAACAAGAACAAGATGGCGCCCGTCGGAGCGGAGGGAAGGTACATCAAGCATACAAATCGACTTCTAACACAATGTAGACCGCGCGCCAGGCCCCATACGAGGGAGAAGTAAGACAGGTAGGGGGGTAAAGCAAGGTACGGACGCCCCTTCAGCTTATTTGATACAACCTGATATACATGTAATGGGCCTTGTCTCCACTAGAGCATGGACCAAGAGAATAAATAAGGACCCCCAACTCCGGTTAGCGCTGACATCAGCTAGAGTCCCTTTATACCCAGAGTAACGACAACTCGATTATCAGCTGACTGGCAGCCGACCTTGGCTGGCCTAGAGTCCCTTTATTCTGAGAGTCAAGACAATTTGAATCCATTTCTGATTGGTTCTCGTATTTTAGGCCTCCACAGTGTCACAAACGGGAATAAAGATTACATTTTCACCAATTGCAAAGATTATAATCTGGAATGGACCGGGGAATTACGGGTTCGGCAAGGAACAAACGGAATGAGAGGAGGAACGGAGAAAGGCATTTGAGAATGGGCCGATCAAAGATTACGAAAAACGTTCAATTTCTGTAATCTTTAT